AGCCAAGCACTGAAATATCATCAACGTCTTCGCAGGGGCCTAGAAGGAATGAGTCTTAGGCTAAACAGCTGAAAGGCAAAGGTATTCAATCGTGTTTGTTCTTGCTGCTAAATAGTGTCCCTCAACAATCGAGACCCAATGGACAATGGGAATCAATTCCTGTATATTGGGAGTGTCATCTCAGTGAGGGCCGGCATTGACTCTGACTCTGAAACTCAACATCACCTTCAATATTCCAGTGCCATTTTGGCAGCCCGAGGAACAGAAAGTTTAAGTGACCTCAAGCCTGACAGCAAATTCAAGGTCAACAGGGTAACAGTATTACCAGTCCTCCTCCATATATCGGAGGCATGAATAATATCCAGCAGGCACCTCCAGTTACATGAGAAATACCATTAGCAATGCCTCTACAAAACCCTGCAAATACACTAACAGTCTTACCAATATGATTATTTCAAATTTATGGGAAAGGGAAAATACACTGAAATTGCAGATGTGCAGCAATCATTAAGGAAGATTCCTGCATCTGGTGCCTGATTTCTGGAGTTCATACATTTGCATGATGTTCTGAAAGTGTGGTATTATAGTGCAGTGGAAGCTTCAATAAGATATACTGTATTGTAGATGGGCAATCATATTACCTGAGAGGATGAAGGCCAGATGTTTTCTTACAAGGTGGGAAAATTAAGGGTTTATGTTGGAGTCCCTTTTATTTGCTGGCCTTGGGCACTACTGAAGGTTGTAAGCAAATCTCTAATTTGTTTTCTGAACCAGTCGCATTGTGTGTTGTGGGCATTGAGCAAACTGCAGAAATTAAAAATAAACACTCCACCTTTTATCAGTTCTGTAAAATCTTCCATGAGTAACACCACTCCCTTTTATATTTTCATTCAAAATATGGATTTGGTTTTGTTTCTGTCCTCCTGAGTTATGTCCCCTTGTTTTCTATGATGGGGCTTTCCAAAGTGAGATTTGGCTCCCCAAATGGAGCCACAAGTTGAAATTTTGGGTCACAAGCTCTGAGGTGATATTGGCAGCTGTGGCACTCTGAGACCAAGTTGGAACAGCTGGTTTCCCCTCAGCCTCCACTCCCCTCCCCTCCCCAACACTTGCCCAGTTCCGAGACAACAAGGTGCAGGGCTGGATGAACACAGCAGGCCAAGCAGCATTATAGGAGCAGAAAGGCTGACGTTTCAGGCCTAGACCCTACATCAGAAAAGGGGGAGGGGAAGGGGGTTCTGAAATAAATAGGGAGAGAGTGGGAGGCGGATAGAAGATGGGTGGAGGAGAGGATAGGTGGAGAGGAAACAAACAGGTCGAAGAGGCGGGGATGGGGCCAGTAAAGGTGAGTGTAGGTGGGGAGTTAGGGAGGGGATAGGTCAGTCCAGGGAGGACGGACAGGTCAAGGGGGCGGGATGAGGCTAGTCGGTAGGAGATGGGGGTGCGGCTTGAGGTGGGAGGAGGGGATAGGTGGGAGGAAGAACAAGTTAGGGAGGTGGGGACGAGCTGGACTGGTTTTGGGATGCGGTAGAAGGAGGGGAGATTTTGAAGCTTGTGAAATCCACATTGATACCATTGGGCTGCAGGGTTCCCAAGCGGAATATGAGTTGCTGTTCCTGCAACCTTCGGGTGGCATCGTTGTGGCACTGCAGGAGACCCAGGATGGACATGTCGTCTGAGGAATGGGAGGGGGAGTTGAAATGGTTTGCGACTCGGAGGTGCAGTTTATTGCGAACCGAGCGTAGGTGTTCTGCAAAGCGGTCCCCGAGCCTCCACTTGGTTTCCCCGATGTAGAGGAAGCCACACCGGGTACAGCGGATGCAGTATACCACATTGGCAGATGTGCAGGTGAACATCTGCTTGATGTGGAAAGTCTTCTTGGGGCCTGGGATGGGGGTGAGGGAGGAGGTATGGGGGCAGGTGTAGCACTTCCTGCGGTTGCAGGGAAAAGTGCCGGGTGTGGTGGAGCTGGAGGGGAGTGTGGACCGGACAAGGGAGTCATGGAGAGAGTGGTCCCTCCGGAAAGCAGATAAGGGTGGGGAGGGAAAGATGTCTTTGGTGGTGGGGCCGGATTGCAGATGGCGGAAGTGTCGGAGGATGATGCGTTGGATCCAGAGGTTGGTGGGGTGGTACGTGAGGACGAGGGGGATTTTTTTTGGTTCTTATTGCGTGGACGGGGTGTGAGGGATGAGTTGCGGGAGATGTGGGAGACACGGTTGAGGGCGTTCTCGACCACTGAGTGGGGGGAAGTTACGGTCCTTGAAAAACGAGGACAACTGAGATGTACGGGAGTGGAATGCCTCATCCTGGGAGCAGATGCGGCGGAGGCGAAGGAATTGGGAATAGGGGATAGCATTTTTGCAGGAAGGTGGGTGGGAGGAGGAGTATTCTAGGTAGCTGTGGGAGTCGGTGGTCTTGAAATGAATATCGGTTTCTAGGTGGTTGCCCGATATGGAGACAGAGAGGTCCAGGAAGGGGAGGGAGGTGTTAGAGATGGTCCAGGTAAACTTAAGGTTGGGCCGGAAGGTGTTAGTGAAGTGTATGAACTGTTCGAGCTCCTCGTGGGAGCACGAGGCGGCGCCGATACAGTCATCAATGTAATGGAGGAAGAGGTGGGGTTTAGGGCCTGTGTAGGTACGGAAGAGGGATTGTTCCATGTAACCTACAAAGAGGCAGGCGTAGCTTGGGCCCATGTGGGTACCCGTGGCCACCCCCTTTGTCTATAGGAAGTAGGAGGAATTGACAGAAGTTGTTGAGGGTGAGGACGAGTTCGGCTAAGCGGATGAGGGTGTCAGTGGAGGGGGACTGGTCGGGCCTGCGGGACAGGAAGAAGTGGAGGGCCTTTAGGCCATCTGCATGGGGAATGCAGGTGTAGAGGGACTGGACGTCCATGGTAAAGATGAGGTGTTGGGGACCGGGGAGTTGGAAGTTCTGGAGGAGGTGGAGGGCGTGGGTGGTGTCACGGACATAGGTAGGGAGTCCCTAGACCAAGGGGGAGAAAATGGAGTCCAGATAGTTGGAGATCAGTTCGGTGGGGCAGGAGCAGGCGGAGACAATGGGTCGACCAGGGCATTCAGGTTTGTGGATTTTGGGAAGGAGATAGAAGCGGGCAGTGCGAGGTTGGGGAACGATGAGGTTGGAGGCCGTGGGTGGGAGGTCACCTGAGGTGATGAGGTTGTGGATGGTTTGGGAGATGATGGTTTGGTGCTCAGGGGTGGGGTCATGATCAAGGGGGCGGTAGGAGGAGGTGTCGGAGAATTGGCGTCTGGCCTCGGCGATGTAGAGGTCAGTGCGCCATACTACGACTGCGCCTCCCTTGTCCGCGGGTTTTATGGTGAGGTTGGGATTGGAGCAGAGGGCTGCACGTTCATCGCCGAGGCCAGATGCCAACTCTCCAACACCACCTCCTACTGCCCCCTTGATCATGATGCCACCCCTGAGCACCAAACCATCCACAACGTCATGGCCGTGACCTCCCACCCATGGCCTCCAACCTCCCCCTTTTCTGATGAAGGGTCTAGACCCGAAACACCAGCCTTTCTGCTCCTATGATGCTGCTTGGCCTGCTGTGTTCATCCAGCCCTGCACCTTGTTGTCTCGGATTCTCCAGCATCTGCAGTTCCTACTATCTCTGATTCAACTTGCCCAGTTCCACCTGGTGAGTCACAATTATTTTCAATTGAGTTCAGTTGGGTCAGAATTTGGGGAAGGGTCTGTTTTGTTGTCATTGTTATCCCTATTTTGTATAGCTTCTCAACTGCCCTTTTGTTTTGTATCCTAAAGCATGTTGTTGTTACTTTTTTATTAAACCGTATTTACACAATTGTTTCCATGATCAATCACTGCCTCTGGTTCTCCCATTTTATTTGAACATTGTGTTGCTGCACAGGCAGCTTAAGTTATTTTTAGTACGTGTTCCTTTTTACTTTGAACAGTCCTTCACAGCTTTTGTTTGTAACTATTGGTTACCCAGCCATGTTGTTACCCTTATTTCTTACCTTTTGTCTGACCTTTGTTCAAGAGACTAAGAGTAAATCTAAAGATATTGGTGAGATGAACACAAAATATGGTAACAAATTACAAGTTTAAGCTTAAATTGAACTGATTGTGATGTATTTGAAAATCTAAAGTGTTCTATGGATTAAGCTTTGAGAGTTGCAGTCGACTGTGTGACTCCAGTTTTGCTCACTTTGGATTTTGACAGTCTAACTGGCCCAGACAAAATGATGCCGCCACCACCAAACACCTCTTTCCTCTCCTCTCCTTGACTGTATTCTGAAGGGACCCTTCCCTTTGTGCTCTATTCCTCTGACCTTTTACCTCCTTCCTCCATGGCTCCCTTATTGTCCAAGGCCCCAAAGCTTCCTTCCAGGTGAATTTATTTGTAATTTCAGTCTAGTCTAATTCGTTGCTGAGAATGGGAGACCAACTTCATACTGTGTGACCACTTTGAAACATATCTGTTCAGACCCAAGCATAATCCCAAACTTCCAGTTACTTGCCACATTGATACACTATCTTACACTCCTGCTTCCATTTCTGTCCCACACATACTGTAATGTTCCACTGAAGTTCAGTGCAAACTGGATAAACACCTAATTTTCCATGTAGGCAATTTACCACCTTCAAGCCTTGACATTGAGTTCAACAACTTCAGATAGTGAACTGTGGCCTTTTTGTACACCCACCCCACCTCCATATCAGGTTTCTCTTGCTTTTTGCTTTCAGCGTAGAATGACCAATATTCTGCTTTCGCACTTAACACTGGACCTGTCTGTCTACAACTATCACCACTCCCTTTTGCCTTTTGTTCTGTGGGACACCTGTGACCTCCGGTTTCCCTCGCCCTTGAACCTTCCCTTCTATTCCACTTGATTCTTTAATCATTCTCACCTTTCCATTTCTCTCTTCTGAAAAAGTCCTATTCGACTCAATTTGACTTTGTTTCTTGCTCCACAGTTGTTTCAGACCTGAGTTTCTCCAGTCTGTTTTTAATGCAGGCAAATTGTTTTATTCTCTGGCCAGTTGCTTCCTTTAACTGTAAGAATAAAAAGGATGATGAGGTGATTGGGGGAAGACATTGTGGTGGGCAAACCCAGGGCAAGCCTGCGTTGCTCGAAATACAAATTATGCATTATCCATGAAGGGGTTAAAAACCACACTTTAACATTTTACATCTACCTAAAAATATTAGTTTTTAAAAAAAATTCCTGTGTCTGTCTAAACTTCCTTAAATTTCTATTTCACTCTGTAAGCATAACTACCACTATTTGAGAGAATAATGCAGTTAGTGCTTATACTAAGCTTTTAGTATTTTATACTGTACCAGATGCTCATAGCAATTATAGCAGTTATTGATTTGTGCTTTTAACGGGGTCTTGTGTCAAAATAATTGAGCAAAAAAAGATGCCATTATGTTAACGAAAGTGAGAGAACCATGTAGAATGTGGTTAACCAGGAAGAGAAGGATGTAGTTTACAGGAATGGTTTTATGTTCACATGCAGCAAAAGATGAAAAAAATTGATGACCAATTAGCTTTTCTGACGATAGATATTTCATCTGAGTATAGCTGTGCTTATTGCGTCAACCAGGTGACAAAATTTGACTATACTGAAGGCTAAGGGCTAACCTGCTGGAAATCTGGTCCTGCTATTGTCAGAGTTGTCACAAAAGTTACAAGTTGTTTTAGAAAATGCAGAATTTCTCTGTTCCCATGTCTTTTGGGACCCAGCACGGACCAGGTTTCTGTACTTGGGAGTTTCCATTTTTTTTACAATCAAATAGTCTAACTACAGGTAAACAATTGTAAACTGTGAGCATATAGTTCTATTAGTTGAAACTCTAATCCCCCTTTTAAACTTCTCCACACACCCACAAGCACAAAAAAGAAAAAGGCAGAGCAAAAGGCTAGAAAGGCAGTCCCTGTATATGGGGTTTGCTAAAATTGCTGATCAGAACTCTGCATCTCAATCCTCCTTTTCCAAATACTTTTATTTGCAGGAGGTACAGAGTGACTCGTTCACATTTATCAAGGTCTTTGACTTGCCGATTATACAACTTGCAGCAACTAGAAGGGAGAAATAAATGGCCTATCTTCAGATTTTTTTTTTGTACTGCAGAGTGAAAACGGTTCCCTCCTTTCCTGAGGTCTGATGGTTTCTGCACAAGCATCATCAGAACAGATGCAACGGAGTGCATTCCATGCTGGATGTCAGTCCATACTGCTGAAAGCAAAGTCAACAAAACCCAAACAAGACATAGCTGGGGTTGGACTGGGTGCCCTGGCCAATATTTATCCCGCAACCAACATTTCAAAAACAGATTATCTGGTCATTATCTCCTTTCTGTATATGGAGGTTCATTTTATATAGATTGCCAGCCATGTTTTCCTACATCAAATAGTAATAACAATTCAAGAATTCTTCACCTGGCCTTAAAGTGCTTTATTTTCCATGATCATAGAATGTCTCTGATAAAACTGAACGCCTTTCTTTCTTGTTTCTGCATCTGCCTATTTATGCTTGCTTTTGTTATCAGCAAATGACGTATTGCTTTCTAGTCTCGCCAAACGGCACACGCCACCTAAATGCTCTTCCCTCTTTCTCATTTATAAATAAAACAGTTCTGTTACAACTCCTCTATCTGCTGATTTATCAATCATTAGGGAAGTCACCAGAACCAATTACTAAACTGAAGAGGTGCAAGTACAGCTTTGAAAGAGATTTAATTTGTGCATATTTATTACAGAATCACAGTGCTCTAGTAATTGTACATGTTAACTTTATCACTTTCTTTTACAGGTGCACGAATCTGGCTTTTTATTGGTTTCATGCTGATGTTTGGATCTCTCATAGCTTCCATGTGGATCCTGTTTGGGGCATATGTTGTACCTAGTAAGTAACGTCTCTTAAATTCTCCTATAAATGCTGACTCACTGACATTCTAAAAATGTACCAGTCCAAGTGTTTATATTATGCAAGCAAATGCCTGACCATGATTAGCTGGGATATTCTGTGCACACCTTTATTCTAGTTTCCGGGTTTTTTTTAAATGCAGGTAGGAAAGGGTCAGTCGTTTCAGTATATCAGGTGGTTGATAAACATTAAACATTAAAAATACCACTGCAGTACTTTGTATGAATCCCATTCCCCAGGTAGCAGGATAATAGGCTTCCTTTATTCTAATTTGCCCTGGGTCTTAAACAAAAGCCATTGTTTGTCTTACATAATGAGCCCACATGCACAGTTATTTCTGTGCTTGTGCTTTGGTAAATAAAATCAAAATGGTTCTTACTGCTGTACATTTATCCTGTTGCCCTGTATCTTCAACTGTTTCTTCAATTGTTTATCTACTGTTCCCTTTAAAAGACTGGGTGCTCTCTGCCTAAAATATTGTTTGTGACAAATCACACTGTAGCTCTTACAATTATGGGTGTTACTTTTGAGAAGGTAACACATACTATGAATCAAGGGGAACTGGTGGATGTACTTGATGGATTTCCTGCAGGCATTTGTTAGAGTGCCACATTGAATGACTTGAAGGAAAGAAGCAAATGTACTGTAGCCGCATTTGCAGATGGCACAAAACTAGGTGGCAAGGCAGTTTGGGAGAAGGATACAAACAGTTTACAGAGGTATTGATCAGTTAAATAAGTGGACAAAATGTTCGCAAATGGAGTACAATGTGGAAAAATGCGAAGTCCTTCACTTGGAAGGGAGAACAAAAGAACAGAATATTTAAATGGAGAAAATCTGCAGAAGGCTGCAGTACAAAGGGATTGGGTGGTACTTGTGCTGATGTTCTGTTTTCATGCACACAGGTGCAGCGGGTAATCAAGAAAGTAAATGGAATGCTTGCCCTTATTTCAAAGGGATTGGCATATAAGAGGAGGGAAGTCTTATTGCAACCGTATGAGGTGCTGGTGAGACCATATCTGGAGTACTGTGAGCAGTTTTGGTGCCTTTATTTAAGGAAGGATATCATTTCATTGGAGACAATTCAGAGACGGTTCACTAGGATGATCCCTGGTATGGAGGAATTGTCTTGAGCAAAGGCTAAACCGGTTGGGACTCTCCTCACTAGAGTTTAGAAGAATGAGAGATGATCTTATTGAAACATATGGGTTTCTTGAGGTGCTTGAAAGGATAAATGCTAAGAGGATGTTTCTCCCTCATGGGAGAATCTAGGACTAAAGGGCATATCTCAGAATAAAGGGTGCCAATTCAAGACTGAGAAGAGGATAAATTTCTTCTCTTTACAGGGCCAATACATGGGGACTCCTTGTCAAAGAGAGCTGTGGGGCTGAGGCCTTGAGTATATTTAAGGCTGAGGTAGATTCTTGATCAGCAGGGGAATCGAGGACTATGGAGGGTGTGGAGAGCAGGAATGTGGACTTGAGGAAAGTCTGATCAGTCATGATCCTATTGAATGGTGGAGCAGGTTTGAGGGACTGAATGGCCTACCCCTGTTCCTGTTTCTTTAGGCCTTAAAGGTTATGGCAGTAAATGAAAGGCCACGGTGTATGGGGTAGCATATTGGTATGGAGAGAAGATTTGTTGTCCAACAGGAAGCAAAGAAGACAACTTGTTTCTCCCCCCAGATTGACACGATGTAATGACTGGTGTGCCATAGGGAACTGTGCCTGGATCTCAACTGTCTACAGTTTATATAAATTACAGCTTGAGTGAAAGAACAAGTATGGTTGTTAAATTTTTGACGACACAAAGATAAGAAGAAAAGTAATTTGTGAAGAGGACTTCGGTCTACAAAAAAATATGGATAGGTTAATTGAGTGGGCACAGATAAGACAAATGGAATGTAATGTGGGAAAATGTGATTATAGTCTATTTCAGAGAATAAAGAATAACAAAGAACCATGTTATGTAAATTGTGAGAGATTGCAGAGCTCTGAGATGGAGGAGGATCTGGGTGTCTTTGTAAGCAAATCAGAAAAGTATGTATGCTGGTACCACAAGTAATTAGGAAAGCTGAGTGTTATCATTGTGAGAAATTGAATGCTTCAGTCATACAGGGTCCTGGTGAGATTGCATCTAAATTGCTGTGTATTGTATTAGTCAACTTATTTAAGGAATGTAAAAGGTTTCTAGACTAATTCTTGGAATGGAGAGGTTCTCTTGTCAAAATGGTAACCTTTTTAATCAATTTTCCTTCCATTTACTGATCAACTAAGATACAAAGTAAAATGTGGAAAAAAAAAAAAAAAA